TAAACATTTTTCCTAAACTCGAATTCATTAGCTTTCTTTCATTTCAGGCTACTATAAAAAGAAGTAAAGTCATAAATGGCAGCAAAGTCATCTCAGGTGAACGTTAAAGCATTAAGAACCTACTAAATAGAACAATAATCAACTCTTAAAATGTATGGAATATGTCTGAATATGCACTCGTTGTAAAATCTAACACCTTGGATTTAAATGAAAATAAAAGCGCTTTAGCATTTAGCAATCAATGTATTGCTTGATTCAACCATTATGTAGTCCAACTAGATTCGAACATGTTTTTATACCCATTCTATACCATAATGCACTACGCTCTCTTTCGGAACGGATCGTACATCAACAAATAGACATCAGTTTTTTATGTGTCTGTCCTCTTATTGACAATAAATTGCGTCATCACATTGTCAAAGTAGTGTGGATGATGTCTATTTGTGTTTTTACAATAACAAGGACGATAAAAACTTCTCATTTTTAGCGATTAAAACAACCAACGGAAAGAGCGCGCGCTCGTTGACGTCAGCTTTATCTGTCTGTCCTCTTATTGATGATAAAAAATAACCAATCAGCGCGCGAGAAATTTGTAAGTTGCTGTAAAATTCTAGTTTGATTATTAATCAACAACACGTGATTTAAAGTGCTTTGTACCCATCCTATACCATAGATGGTAGATAGCACATTCATGTTTGATTAGTAATTAACATTCCTGAATAAAAGGTCTTTGTCCCCATCCTATACCATAATTCATCACGCTATCTTTCGGAAAGATAACACATTCTAGTTTGAATGTTAATTAACATTCCTGAATAAAAGGGCTTTGTACCCGTCATACACCATAAAGCAAGGTCCGTTTACTGGGGCGATTTTTGCAGGAATTTGAGGTGCGATTTGTTTGCGGCAATTTTATTTATTTTTAATGTAATTAGCACTTTTAATTGGTTCAGTCAATAGGGAATATGGATCAGTAGTACGATGTATCAGATACCATCAACATCATGCATATATGTGTGGTGAACGATCGTGTATGTTAGTTATATATTCTCTACTGTGTATGGCTTGCTTGCTTGGTCTTTCTGGCTTTGGTTGCTTTTTAACCTTTATGAGAAAACAATGAAATTTAACCATTAGATTTAGGCGATAACGATAATGGTCACGATAACGGCCATGGGTCACGATAATGATAACGATAACGGTCACGATAACGATCACGATAACGGTCACGATAACGATAATGGTCACGATAACGATAACGATAATGGTCACGATAACCGTCACGATAACGGTCACGATAACGATAATGGTTACGATAACGGTTACGATAATGATAACGATAATGGTCACCATAACGTTCACGATAATGAAAACGATAAAGATAACGGTCACGATTACGATAATAGTTACGATAAATGTAACGATAACGATACTGTTAACGGTCACGATAACGATAACGACAATGGTCACGATAACGATAATGGTCACGATAATGAAAACGATAAAGGTTAGATAACGATTAATGGTTACGATAACTATAACGATAAATGTAACGGTACTGATAATGGTCACGATAAAGATAATGGTCACGATAGCGGTCGTAATAACGATAATGGTCACGATAACGATAACGATAAAGGTAATAATAATAATGATATGGTATGTAATCAAAAAAATAATAAAGAGAAGCCTGGCACAATACTTACAGGCATTGCAAGAGAATGGACATTTAACCACGTCACAGTCATCGACTGAGAAGTGAAAATTGTACATGCAGTCATATGGGTCTAGATCTTTGCATTCTTCGTCATCATTAGATCTTCCTGCAATAGATCAAGTTTAGGGCTTGAAAAATCTTATTAAATTTCGTTTTTTAATCTCTTCACTTTCTTTTCCTTCCTTTTCAGTCTCTTTCCCTCCCTTAATTTAGTGCTCTGTCTTCTCTTTCATCCTTTTTTTTTTTTTTATCTCTTTATTTCTCTCTTTTCTCTTCTCTTCTCTTCTCTTCTCTTCTCTTCTCTTCTCTTCCCTTCTCTTCTCTTGGCCTAGCATCGACTTTTCTTCCTCTCCTGTTTACTTCCTATACACAGTACAAACCTCTTTCGTATTTCTTGGCAAGATCACGCATGTACCCCGAGTGAAGTGGATGCTTTTTGTCGTAAATGTTCCTAGACCTTTCACGGAAAACCTTGTGGTCAGCGGCAGGTTTTGCAAAGCACACGGCAATAAGTAACGCCAAAACAAGCATGGTGATTTTAGTGTTCATGGCTGTTTATCTTTGTTGCCTTTTCAAACCTGGAGAAGAAAGTTACATGGAAATTTGAAAAGCTTAGCATACCTTAGCTTCATAATAACCAGACCATCACAGCTCAAGTTTGAAAACCAAAATGCTTAATACCAACATTTTGGCATATTTTATTACATAAGGCATAGACTGGTAAAAAAATAGAAAACGCGCGCGCGTGCTGTGTGCTGTCATAAAGCACGCGGGGGTTGGCAGAACACGAGAGAAGTGTTAGGAGAAGCACGATGCGTAGCGGAGTGCTTCTGGACACTTCTCGAGTGTTCTGCCAATCCCCAAGTGCTTTATGACTGCACACAGCACAGCAACAATTCCCTATATAAGTTTCGAGTTTTTGGTTTCTCATGGTTAGCCTCGATTTTATGTAGAATAATAACAATGATAATAAGTATATATAATAGGACTCCATGCTGTCCAATTAAGATGTGTTATAATATTGCCACTGCCCTGCCGCTATGCTCAATGAGTTTAAACACTACAAAAATTCGTTGTAATTATATCTAGTCTCTTTTCGGGATTTTCGCTCTGACTAGCTAGTCTTTAAGCGATTTATTCCTCTCGTAAGAGACGAAAGGAGGATCAGCAAAGATCCTTTTCAGGTTCTGTACTTTTAAAGTAGCAATACCGGTTTCGATAAATATTATATAGAGGATATTACATGGGCGCGCGGAGATACGAAATTTATCTTCGAGTGTTGAAAAGATCTCTCACTCGTTCGCTGCGCTTCACTGGTGAGAGATTTTCAACACGAGAAGATAAATTTCGTATCTCCAAGCGCCCATGTAATATTCTGTTTATTATATTATTATCCATAAAATAAACTTAATAAGCATTTTATTATAAAAAGTTTTTATTTATAAACTAATAGCTTAAATACACATGGTAACGATATTTTCACACGTGAAAATAACATGTTATTTTCACATGTAAAAATATCAGTTTTTCGAAAAGGAGAAATATAGGTATTTTATGGGATAATTATATGATAAATATCTATCTTCGTCAGTTGCTTTTGTAGGTTAGTAATGCTCGAGTTTATGTGAGCAGCAAGTGTGGCTAGAGRACTTYAGAGCTCAGTTTATATACCGTTAGCCTTGAACCTGATTGGTTGGTTAGATATAATAAGGGTCAGTTGATCGGCCAATCAAAGTAACGGTGTTTCTGATCCTTTAGAAATGATTGTTTATGTACTAACGCGCTTGCGCAACGTTGATGGCGTAACTGGTGCGTACCATTTGTAGTTATGGTCGATCAGAAAGGGTAGAATTATTGGCATCAAAACTTATACAGTTCTAAACGAATAAGTAGTATTTGACGGTTGTTTGTGGATTAATAGAAAGAATCCGATAACTGGGCTGGAGACATAGATGTCCGAAAGGACTTGCTTACGCGGGCATGTGAGATATTAAAGATCAAAGTGTTATAATATTGCMAAGTGTTATAATATTGTTTGTGGACGTTTTTTCCAGTCAACGCTCGTGGAATTTCGAAGTTTTAATTTGTATTATTGAAGTTGTTCCAACTCTGCTATTTGCGAATATTTTAATGCTGAAATTAGGCTAACCCTGAGTAAACGAGTCTGTAATCAAGAAAAACAGCGGTGTCACCAATTCAAAAATGGTGTATTCCATCTTAATAATTTAGAAGAAATTCTCTAAAGGAGATACGGACCAAATTACAAACAGCTGGCATTTTCATATTCTATAATTGAAAATAGTCGGTGTGAGATTTTTAATTGATGGATGGCTGTCAAAAGGGTAGTAGATTTTTTGAAAAACTCCGTTGTGAAAATCCACTCTAACAGCTACCTCCGTCTTTCTTTTATTTCCATTTGTTTCTAATTGCTCTTAGAGCACTTATTTTTGAGCTGCATTATGTTTTCGGTAAGGGAAGGTACTTTTGGAGATGGGGGAGGGGGAG